TTTTCAACACATTGCAGAAATGTTTTGCGAGAACATATTTCATGAAACGTTATCATCATGTTTTAAATACATTGTGTACGCATATTTAAAATCATCCGAATAAGGTGTAAATGTCTAATACTTATTCAAAATGTTCAAAAGATACAGTTTAATCTGTAGGCTAAATGTCTAATGTGAGTGAGTTGGGTTTAACGCCGCTTTTAGCAGTATTCCAGTTATATCTCGGCGTGTCAGCTTAATGTGGGAGGAAAGCCCGAAGTGATGCAGGTCTCGGTGAAACCCACGAGCACGGGTATACGTATGGTGCTGTCAAAGCTAGAAACATAATCTGGGCGAACCGGGATTCGAACCCACAATCATAGGTTTCTGGCATGCTCAGGGGACGCAACTCTGCCCAGCGAATTGCGGCGCCTTAGACGACTGGGCCACCCGTGCCCCCTCTAAATGTCTGAAGAAAATATAGCCGATATGATGTTTGTTGCTGATCACAGGTACTGTCACACATGACACTACACTATTACGTCTATTTTGCACCCGCCATCACCAGTTCAAGTTTACTCTACATCCAAGTGGATCGTCGAACTCTGATTGATTTGTTAGAGGGTAAGTTCATTTTCAAAAGCAGTATCTTCTTATCTAAGCAGTATCTAAATTGCATTGTGTAAATATAACATTTGTTACATTTGACCACTTTCTAAATGGCATTGTGCATCATTTCAAAACCTAAATTTAATCACATACAGAACTTTACCCCCAAATGCGATTTATGCAGGGTCAGATGGGTTAGCTATCGTATCTAACACCCACACAAAGTGGAAAGTTATTCCAATAGCTATAAGCTCGGATTTTGCAATAAGTGTTATATTGTCACAAACAGGCTACTGTGATGTTTATGTAATAGCCAGGTGACTACCATCTACAAATGTGTTAAACTCCGTGTACTGTAAATATGCCCTTGATGAACTGATGGATATAAATATATATGATAATCTGTGCGAGTTAAGAACAGTTTTCATCTTGGGTGATTTAAATGCTGATGTTTGTAAGGCCAATCTAACAGCACGGGATAAGCTACTTAGAAATGTTATAGAAAATAGACATCTTTTACATGCAGCAAATATGGCACGATTCGGAGGACCAGGATATACATGAAGATCAAAGGATAACATGCCACGAAGCCTAATAGACTATATTCTTGCACCGTCATGGCTACGGAACTTCGTTACAGACTGTTACATTATAGCACGCTGTACACATTCACGGGTAACTCCGCATGGCGTGTGTAACTTTGACGTCGTCTTTCCATGTGATCCCGGTTGCCTTTCTGAGGCATGAGTCATGGCTGTTTTGTATATCCTGTAATTCGAAAACCTGTCGCACCGTGGATCGTTGCACAAGTCGTTCCCCACAGCAACGTGAACAGGGCGGCCTGTAAAAAGTTAGAATAAAGTGGGGACTTGATTCAAGAACCAGGAGGGGCACGGTAACACGTGATCAGCCCGACAAATCCGTTCAGTCTACTCTTGCGCAAAGCGATCGTTCGCTAAAGATCTAATCGAAATCTCCTTGATCCTCTGGGCACGTGGTCAAACCAAATTTATCTTCTTTCCCTAGACTCTATAAAATATTGAGTTTCAATAAAACCGTATTCTATTTAGTTTCCATTTATTGTACTGGTAGTACATTTTGATGTCGCCAATGTGGTTATACGGGCTTTGTAGTTGATAACCCTTATAAAACATCCGTCCTATAACCATGTATTAGGGCGACCCTTAAAGCACAGAAACAGCTCATGGCAGAGGAGTGTGTTATTTTGTAAACGACTGTGCTTACACATGCAGTAGGAAATTATATAGAGCGATTTCACAATACAATGAACGCGTCCAGTCAATATTCAGGAACCACTGATATTTCACTTTAAGGACGAAGGTCGATTTTAATCTCTTGACGTTGTACGAATGCACTGGTGACATTATCACAGTGCCGTCAATGAAATACAGCAAGAATTTACAAGAGAATTTATGGATGCCAACTTCTTTATGATGACGAACACAACGTTTCGGAGTCTATGCTTACTCCTTCATCAATTGAAATGATTACCGGCTATTGAAAATTTATATGATATAATAAATATACATCTAAACCCACATATGAGGGTTGTTTTGGAGATATATATTACAAACACAACCTGTTCCGATCTGAACGTGCATGTTTGCGTTGAGCAGTATGCACATAGCCACTTTTGGCGTATGTTATGTTGGCAGACACAGCTAAAATTTGGTTTTAGGCATATTTTGACCAACCAGTGAAATGCCCAAGGGTCCAGTGCCTCTGAACCAAAGATGGCAAATTATTGGTATGCACCAGACTGGTATGTCATGTCGTGTTATTGAAGCACAACTGAACATTAATCGCACTGTCAACAGCAGGCTAATACGTAAGCATACTGCTTCCGGTGAAGTGAAGGATGCACCGAGGTCTGGACGTCCCAGAAAAAAACAATGACAGGGAAGATCGTGCTGTCGTACGCCAAGCCAGACGAAGCCCAAAGTCTACTCGTACACAGCTGCAACATGGATGGCATCCATACAACAGAGTGTCCATCAGCACCATCAGACGACGTCTAAATTCTGCAGGATTGAGAGCAAGACGACCACTCCTCACAAATCAGCACCGCCATGCCCGTTTAGCCTGGAACCTGAGGACACAGAGAAGGATCCAGTGGTCCGATGAAAGCAGATGTTTGCTACATCATACAGACGGGAGGGCACGAGTTTGGAGGCAGAGAGGCACAGCATATGATCAGAGGAACATTCAAGTTGATGTTCCATTTGGGGATGGATCCGTCATGGTGTGGGGGTGTTGTTCCTACGATTGTAAGCTTGACCTCATCACAGTTCCCGGAACACTGAATGGACAGAGGTACTAGAACTTGATCCTGGACGGTGCTGTTGTGCCTCATTTCGATAACCATGCTCTCGCCACACGTCCAGTCTTCATGGACGATAATGCCAGACCACATCGTGCTCGAGCTGTTGTTCAGCATCTCCAACACAACGCCATTGAGACACTACCCTGGCCTGCCAGAAGTCCAGACATTAATCCTATTGAGCATTTATTGGACATTTTGGGACGTAGGGTGAGAGCAAGGGATCCTCCAGTTCAGAACCTTCAGGAATTGACCCATGCATTGCATAATGAGTGGCAGCAGATCCCCCAACAGAGATTCAGACGTCTGTTGACCAGCATGAGACGGCGTGTAGAACATGTTATCCAAGTGCGAGGCGGTTACCCCAGATACTGAGTTAGCCAGTCATTGTGGACCTTACTAGTGTGTTCGACATAAATGAAATGTGAACTGTGTTGTGTGTCTGTTGTAACGACTCCGACAGCGATACTTATTTCACATTATTTCATGGTGATTTTAGTGAACTTTGTTTGCTCCCACTAAACCCTCAATTAGTGCTCAAATTCGGTCTTGTCAATTTTCCGACTGAACGCTCACATGAGGCCATATAAACAGTTTAATGTGCTTTCCTAAGCACCATTTTTATGAGATTGAAGATCCAGTTTTAGTTAGTGAAAAAAAGGGGGTGGTGCGATATTTATGACGAGGTGTATATATGGACATATATGTATTATGTAATGTAGTATATTAGGAGAAAGTATTGCTTCTAAAAAAACAATTGGAGTGAGCCGGGTCGGGTGATGTTTCCGGTTATAGTGTGATATGCTGTCTATTTCACCATGTAAAAGTCAATGTGTCAATCCAGTCAATGTATCAACGCGTGTCGGTCTGACGTTGATTAATGAACAATTTGCATACTCGTATATGCAAGGGGCCGACGTATGGTTCTCAGTAGGAAGTGACAACTTGGAGACGATGGCTTGCAGTATATACAGTTTTACTTTATACATGTAGATATATACATACAAAAGACACTATGTGTCAGGTCAGCACATAGTGGTAGTGGTTGTTGTCTAGGTGCCCCGGAGCACCCAGCCTAACCCTAGCTAGGCTAAGGGTAAGACCTTTTTTCTCCTTTCTGGACCAAGGCTTATATAGCCAAGGTCACCTGACATTTAGTAAGTAATAAATATAAATGTAAACAGTAAATCATCAGTGACATACTTGCACATCCTGTTCAGGATGGCAGACGGTCGATGTACACAAAAATGGGGATTAACAATTGGGATTAGCATCTTATAAATAACAGCAATTAAGTGTTTCAAGGCATATAGATGTCATGGCTCCAGGGTAATGAGCCTTTGCAATCAAATGTTCTTCAGACAATGGATGTCGTAAATCAGTCGCTATGACAAATGCATAAAATGACGGAACTTTGCACTTAGGCAATTGACATGACACCTAAAAAACTCTGTTGAGATATCTCTCCATTTATTTCATAACGATAAAGAATTCAAAACATATTGATGATAAATTGAATCACCCAGTGACTGAAAATGATAATTAAGAACAAAAACGAAATATATATATATAATTGATCTATTGTGATATTTTTAGCTCTTTTGTACTCATCAACACGTTTTAGTTAATACGTCAATATAAATGGACAGATGTTTCAATTGGTAAAATGACTGAAATATTTAGGCATTGTATATTGTTTAAATAAATAACATTGACTGCGTTACACCGTTGGACACTTGAATTAAATATATTTCTTTCTTTTCTTTTCTTTCAAATCTCGGGAAATTGGAGTGTTACAGGTTACCCCTGCTACCGGAAGTCATGACATGCTTACCTTGGTGCCATGACACCTGGTGTCGTTGATGCTTTTTCAGCTATTTTGACCTTTACGCCAAACGAATTCTGTTTCGGCGAATAATCAGGACCGGTTATTCTCTCGTATCGGCGTCTTATGTTTACGACGACGTCATTTCACAGAGAATAAGGGGCGTGGCTATTGTTGACTGTGCACTCACCTGTGCAAGCTGAAGTACAAGTACATCCTGATGCATTCACATGCTTCAGGTGGGGTATTTTAAACAACGGCTCTCCCGGTTACAACCGGATCTTGAGTTGTTCACACCTGGGACTGGTGACTATCTTGCCCGTGGACATGCAGTGACTATTCTGTTCTAATCTTGGTCAACATAGCTGCATGGTAGCAGGAGGGTAAGTTTCTGTACTATCTCATCAAACCATAAAAGTGTTCAAAAACACAACTGAGGTAATAATTATGTTGAAGATTTTTAGTGTTCAGTTGCACAATAACCCTAATATAAACCCTAACCCTAACCCTTCCTGAGATTTAATCAGGACACAACATGCTTACCTTATTCACGATCACCTTCTGTGATCACGGGTTTTCAAGGACCCATTCATATAATTTTCACCGAAATATTGCCCTTCGTCGGATAATGGAGACCCAGAGCTCCAGAGCTCTTTTTGAGCAATTGGGTTTTTTCTCTGGGGTTTCTATTTTAATTGGGTTATTACATTTTTCATTGGGTAACTAATATATTTTCACTCGTCTATTCATCAGTCTATTTGTTTGGCCCCCTGACATCAGAAGTAGAGACTATGTACCTAAATACAGAATGCGCTATGACCAGACTGACTCTTACAAATATAAGAAGTTGCGATATTATATTCAGAATGCTTAATCTCATGTCTCTATTCACATTTGTTCAAATGACTCTGTCCTTATTAACATGGAATGTACGTGGGATCCTCCATGGTACAGATTATATTTGTAACACCTTATCACTGCCAGTTGACCTTGTTGCCTTACAAGAGCACTGGCTATCGCCTGATAAAATAGACTGTTTAAGATCATTTCAAAACCTTAAAGTTTATCACATACAGAGCTTTACCCCCAAATGCGATTTATGCACGAGGGTCAGATGTGTTAGCTATCCTATCTAACACCCACACAAAGTGGAAAGTTCTTCCAATAGCTACAAGCTCAGATTATGCAATAAGTGTTAAATTGTCACAAACAGGCTACTGTGATGTTTATGTAATAGCCAGTCGATTACCATCTACAAATGTGTTAAACTCTGTATACTGTAATGCCATTTATGAACTGATGGATATATATGATAATCTGTGCCAGTTAGGAAATAATTTTAACTTGGGTGATTTAAATGCTGATGTTTGTAAGGCCAATCTAACAGCACGGGATATGCTACTTAGAAATGTTATAGAAAATAGACAAATATTACATGCAGTAAATATGGTACAATTCGGAGGACCAGGATATACATGCAGATCAAAGGATAACATGCCACGAAGCCTAATAGACTATATTCTTGTACCGTCATGGCTACGGAACTTCGTTACAGACTGTTACATTATAGCAAGCTGTCCTTATGAAATATCTGATCACTTTCCCTGTCATATTTCTATATCACAAGAAGGGCTAACTAGCCACGATCAAAATATTAAGCGAGTTATCCCTAAGTGGGAAAAAGCAAATAAGACTAATACTTCTATGTTTCAAGAAGTTGATAGATATATTAAGTGTACACATGATTGCAATCCAGATCCCCACTCCTTATATCCACAAAATTTAGAAAACCAATGTGATATCATAAATGAAATTCTTATACATGCAGGTAACAAATGTATCCCACAAAGTGTGTTTAAACCATTTCTTAAACCATTTTGGAGACAAGATGGTCTTGATAACGCGCACTATCGTATGAGGGTGGCTCGATGAGCTTGGATTCAAAATGGTAGATCGAGAGATAAAGATTCAAACGAACGTATATCTTACAAAAATGAAAAAAGATGTTTTAGACGCCTTTATCGCAAATCCTAAAAAGGTAAAAGGAAGGAAGTCCTTACAGAAATAGAAAAATCATCTGAACTTGATATACATTCCTTTTACAAAACTGTAAGAAAGCAAAGGTCACAAACTACAGATATAACAAAACTCAACTACGAGAGAGAGAGTCTCACAACACCCTCGGACATAGATTGTGGGGAAAATATTACTCTGATCTAGCTCAGTCATATTGTTCAGACACTTTTGATGAACATTTTCGAAAAGAAATATCTTCTTACCTAGAACGTATTCACGAAGAGATAGGGGCACATGATGAGGAACTAGAAAGACAATTTTCTTTCTGTAGAAATAAATTAAACTATAAAAACACTTAGTAGAAACAAGTCCCCTGGGCCTGATAATGTTTCAAACGAGCATAAAATTCACGGGGGTGAATCCTTGATAAGATATCTGTGTGCCCTGTTTAATGCTATGTGAAGACTACAATACATTCCTTCTAATTATAGACTAGGAATGGTCATTCCTATATACAAGGGTAAGAATGACAAATCGGATCCCCGAAACTATAGAGGTAACCTTAACTTCATGCATTGGAAAGCTGTTTGAAAAACTTATTGTTAAGCGCACTGAACTAAAAATGATATAGACGAATCCTGATTTCCCTGACGGCTTGAGGAAAGAACATGGAGCAATAATGTCCGTTTTTACCTTCATTGAAAGTATTCAATTTTACATACAGCGAGATTCTACAGTATATGCTGCTTTCTTAGACAATGAAAAGGATTACGACAGAATATGGCAGGACGGCCTTTTTTATAAATTACACCAAATGGGTATCAGAGGAAATACATGGAAGTTATTACACCATAGCTATACAAATAGCCATGCTTTTGTGACTTATCAGGGTAAACAGTCAGATATATACCATGTAAGACAAAGTGTCAGACAAGGAAGAGTTCTCTCTGCTTGGTTCTTTTTAGCCTTTATTAATGACCTTATAACAGCCCTTAGACAAGCAAACAGTGGTATTTGTGTATTTGGTCTAGATATTCCAACTCTTTTGCTTGCAGGCGACACAACTCTTGTTAGCACCTCACCACGAGGGCTACAAAAAGCACTTGATACAGTACATTTAGCCTCAAAGTGGAAACTAACGTATAACCCTTCAAAAAGTAATGTTGTTGTCTTCTTTAAGACAAAACAAAAGGGGTTAGATATTAACTGCAAACTTGGTGATATAAATATAACAACCTCTGACTCTGTCATGTATGGTGGCATACTACTAACACATAACCTGTCATGTAAATCAAGTATTGAAAAATGTTGTCAAAAAGCAAGACAAAGTATTAATTCGCTAAAATCTGTTGGACTCAACAGTTCTGAGCTACGTCCAGCTACCAGTGTAATAATCTGGTTAAGAATGATATTAAAAACAGGTTTTTACGGCTGCGAACTGCTCTTTGATATCAAGGGTCAAAACATTAATGTCATTGAAAATACTCAACGCTATTTCGCATGAACTGTACAAGGACTTGATAAAAGATCTCCATCAGAATCCACTATTGCTAATCTTGGGCTGTGGTCAATGATCGGATATATCGATAAGTGTAAACTTCAGCTGCTTGGCCGCTTATGTAACTTACCCTGTAACAATATTGCTAAACATCTTTTTTTGTACGCATGTTGTACGCATGTTGAAAAACTTTATTTGGTATTTCAAACAATTACGTTTTCCATTTAATGCATGCGATTCTGTGCTTAAGGTAATTGAAAGTACAGTAAACTACGGTTATAACGAACTCAAAGGGACTACTATTTTTAGTTCGTTATAACCGTAGTTCGTTATAAGCATATATACAGCATAACTACAGCAAACAGTCGGGACTAAAAAGTAAGTTGGTTATATCCGTCAGTTCGTTTTAAGCGAATTCGTTATACCCGCAATCTACTGTAATTGGGTTTTGAATAGATTTGGGGGGTATTTTACGCAAATACGCAGCTTATCTGTAACTCTGGAGACCGTTATTTTCAGGCGTTGACGTCTTGTAGTTAGTTGTAGAGTTGTTGCATTTGTTTCCCATTTTGAAAATGTAATGATCGATCAAGTAAAGTATACGACAGAATAAGGAGCATTTTGGGGCCCTGGAATATGCAAATAAGGGAGGACGAGAGCCTTAACAAATCATTATAAAAGATAAGTGTCCAATGAATGAGTAGTAACCTTTGCTCTTTTCAACAACTGCGTGTTTAATACTTCCAACAACGAGATGCATGGCTTAGGCTTAAATATGTTAAAGGTCTGTTTTTTTAGATTCCCGGAAAGAACTTTTCTTGTGTTTGATATATTTGAAAATAAGCAAGTCTTTGCCCCATCTGATGTTTGTGATAACAGAGTTAAATTCTCAATTGGAGTTCGCGAGATCTAACTTCTTCTTTCAGCCATCCTTATGTATTTGATAATTTGAGGCCCAAACCTACGAGTGAGTGAGTAAGGTTTTACGTTGCTTTTAGCAATATTCCAGCAACATTACTGAGGGGGACACCAAAATGGGCTTCACACAATATACCCATGGGGAATCGAACCTGGGTCTTCGACTTGACGGGCTAACCCTTTAACTACTGGGCTGACCCTAATCATGATAAATTTCAGACCTATAAATTTCGATGTCTTCAGCAATTTGAATATTTTACAATCCTGCGGGCCAACATAATGGATATCCTACCTCGCCACTTCGTCAGTTGGGTGATGGTTGGCTCAAATGTGCTAACTAATGTTACCTTCCAAGTACTGGTTAGCGTCAACATGCTATTTTTGATCGGGGTGTTCATGTTAAACTGCGACATGGTATCTCAATGGGCTGGCACCATAAACCGGCATTATTCTCGACTAGCACAAGCAGACACCTAGACAGACAGACACACACACACACACACACATACACACACACACACACACACACACACACACAGCGCTCCGTCTAACACCATTTCACCTCACCAACTCCTCATATCTAAGTATCTACAATGACCATCTTCTGGGAGCGCTATTCTCTGTAGCCTTGTACCCACTATCAGGTTACCGTATTCGACGTATTAGGAGCCCGGGGCGCTCTCAAAATTGAAAGTAGTAGGCTCTTATATAGAATATAATTTTGGTGAGAACAAAAACGGAGTTGAAAAATTGTAAATTCCGTACATGTAGTTTATGCTGACAGCCTGACATGATACTTTAAAATCGTTCTATGATGTGTAATGTACACAGTCAAGGGCAACTCCGCATGGCGCGTGTAACCTATGATTGTGAGTTCGAATCCCGGTTCGCCCCGATTATGTTTCTAGGCTTGTCACGCCATACCCGTGCTCGTGGGTTTCACCACAGTGG